ATTTTATCTTGCATATTTTTAGCTGATATTAGTAGTCACTCGAGCATCAATTTTTTCTATGTTCACTACAAGTTTTTTTCCTTCAAAATTCATCTTCCTTTGTGCTAAATGTCCTTTCTTACTGAAATATCACTCCAATTTTAAGTTGCCTGTTTTGCATAAAGGTTGGATATATGGTGACATGGTAAAGCTGATTTGGGAAAGCAGGTGTAGAGTGTGCATAAGTTAAGAAAACAATTTATAATTTGTGATGTGATCATTGCATTTTAATTTAGTATATGTGATCACCTCAAGTAGGGAAGTACTGAATGCACCTCTCTGGCAAGTGCATGTATCAGCCTATTAGGGTACCATTTTTTACTCAACCGATTTAACACAGGGCATGAGACTGCCATACACAGATTTATTGCATTGTGTGAGGGGAAGGAGAAATGTGGCAGCTCATATTTTTAAGTGATGGCCGAGCTGATAATGCAGCCATTATTTGGCAAGTATTAAGACAGGAATTGCGTGCAATTTAATGACTATATATGGTTGGTGAATCACTATCCGTATACTAGATCATGGTAATGTAGGTGACTAATATTAGTAAAGTTTAAATTGATTACCCCTGGGACGAAGATCTCCATCTCCTTATAGTGGGCGTGGTGGTTCAGTAGTGGGGGCCTGGGGCAGCTCTCTTCCACCATGCATGTTGAATGCATTTCATCTGAAGCACATAAGCGGCATCTTCCTCCACGGTGCGCCCTCCACAACAAATGAAGCACATAAGCGGCATCCCTATAAAAACCAATGCCTAATCCAATGACATCATTGCTCGAGAAACACTGCACCGAACCTAGCCCACGACAACAAACAACAAATCTAATATCAGAGGAAACAATACAAACCAGATCGCACACAGGGTGGAGCGGCAAGCCTAGCAGACAGATGACTAGAACAACAGCGGCCGCAGAGCGAAGCAGCATGCCTAGCAGATGGATGACCAGAACAGCAGTGGCGCATATCGCGTGGAGGGCAAAGCAGCGCCCAAGCAGCAGCCGCGAAAGTAGCACCGAGAGCCGGAACAACAGGATGGCGGGGATCCTCCAACTAGAGCAAGGAACCGAGGCGTACCCAGCATCCCCAAATGGTCAATCTCCACTGCTAGAGCTGCGTCGAGTAGAAGACAGGCTCACAAGGAAACCCATACACACACAACACGCGGCTTGGACTAGCGGCCAGCTAGAGACTAAAGCTTGCTGAGAGGACGCGCGTGCACCGTGCATGCATCGATGTGTCTTCTGGGTCCTGGTAGGCACAAGGCGACAAGCACACTGCAGCGCTGCGTGCCTACGGATGGTCACGGGCGAACGTGCCTTTTTCTAGACATAGTTGTACTGATTTTTTAGTGGGATCGTAGTATGGTTAGTAATATTTGTATGGTTTTAGTCTGTATATAAAATTTAGTCAAAGTTATTTTTTTTTACTTTGACTAAGTTTATCAAAAAATATTAAAATTCACAACATAAAATAAATATTATTAGATGCATCATGAAATTAATTTTAGTACCTTATAGCTTTAGTATTGTAGATATTGATATTTTTTCTGTCAAAGTTAGTCAAACTTTATAAAGTTTGACTTTGGCCAAATGTTATATGCAGACGAAAAAAAGGAGAGTGTACATCCAACAATACAATGTAAGGAGTTGCATGTTATTTAGAGTCATCCTAATAGCCGACATGTACAATAGTAATTTTATTAATAGTTGGTCCACCATACATCCTCACAAAGTGTCTTGGAACTTATGCTGCAGCTGGCTACTACTACCTCCGTCCTGTTTATATGTCCCCTTAGACTGAAAAATATGCTTGAATTATAATGTGGGTCCAAAGAAATATGTGTGAATGGAATAAGAACTGTATATAGTTATTGATAGAACATCTTTGAGTATATAAATTAAATGACACCAATATCTAAAAGTTACTTGTGTCTGCTTCCCCTCTTGAAATTAACATTTGTTTTGATTTTTCGGTACTTTAATAAGGTCACTCATCAAGGAAGTATCTTCTCGGTACTTGCATGATGAAGGAAACCAATTTTTGGCGTCTCTGCCATCCGATTGTTGTTTAGTTTTTCTTTTGAAATGAGGCTATCTAGAGTACTTCAAGTTGTGGTTTAGGAAGACAATTGTTGGTTATAGTGAATGACTTCGTCGGACTATTTGTTCATTTGGCTATCTTAATGCAGTCCCATGTGCATACATTTTGCAGGCATCAGCGAAGATTTGGGAGGCAGAGAGGGATTTCTCAAGTGGAAACAGAGCAAGAACCACAAGGAGCTCAAGATATGTGCCCGAATAATATTAATGTACACTCTTTTAATACATGGCTTACTCTTGGCCTTTGCGCCATTGGCGCAATTGGTCATCTAGTGGGTAGAAAGCATTACACAAGCCAGGCTTGTTGCTCTTGACTTCGATCTAAAGTTCACATATGTGTTGACTGGTTGGGAAGGATGAGTTCATGATGCTAACATTCTTGCTAACAGCATGGCAATGCCTGATGGCATCAGTATCCCCGATTGCAAGTTATACATAGGAGATGTTGACTATGCATGTCGGCCTGGTGTTCTTCCACCCTTCATGAAAACCAGGTACCATCTGAAAGAGTTCTCTTTCTAGGAACTATCCTAGGACTGCGCAAGAATTGTTCAATCTCAGACACTCCAGCCTTAGAGTCATGGTTGGGAGGGCATTTGGAGCTCTGAAGAATTGATTTAAGATCCTAGATCAGAAGCCATTCCACCCTTACCCCACTAAAGTTAGGCTTGTTCTAGCATGTTGCATTCCGCATAAGTGGATCCTTCAATGGGGTTATGATGAGTTGGTGCCGGAGGAGGAAGATTTGACGGCCAATGATGATGACTCCGGTCATGGTGTGGAGGCACATGACAATGAAGCTTGGAAGAGCAAAAGGTTGGAATGTATTGATGCAATGTGAGCAAAATAGAGGAACCACAAGATCTAAACAAAGGAACCACAAGGATCTAAACAACAACGACGACGGCAACGACAACGACGTTAGGAGAGGAAGAAGCAGCAGCAGAAGAAGAAGATGATGATGATGATGAAGAAGAAGCAACAACAACAACAACATCAAAAGAGTACGAAGAAGCAATAACAGAGGATGGACTCGAGTGGGGCGTTTCGGTGACCAGGCTCATCTGCACCCGGTTAGAAAAAAAATTCGTAAAAAATTCAAATCAAATCCAAAAAGTTCCAATTTTTTTGTGCGGTAGACAATTTGATGCCTGAGGCCCGCTCCAAATTTGAACCCATTTGGACATATGAGCAACTCTCGGCAAAAAAAAGAGAAATCAGGCCAAAATAGTACATGAACAGTAAACATTTTTACAGACCCTCAATTTGTCTTTTTTGCTGAGAGCTCGTCAGATATCCAAATGGCTTGAAAATTGGAGCGGACCTCACGCATCAAATTTCTACCTTGCAAAAAATGGAATTTTTTGAATTTTTCTAGTATTTGTTTTGATTTTTTTCGTCGGCGTGGGTGCAGATGAGCTCAGGTGCAGAAATGGATTTTCGGATAGACTCCCCCTATTTCGGCATTGATGAACTTTCTCCTGTTGAGCCATATGACTCTTAATCTATAATGCTATTTGTCCGTATCTAGGTTGAACTACCATTTGATTGCAAGCATGTTTAATTCGTACTACATATGTGGTGCGATGTTCTATAGTGCAGTGCGTAGTGTGTGGTAAGGTCACCAAATAGTGCAATGTGTAGTGAGAAGAGGTCAGCACATCACAGCGGTGCACAACCAAATGCCATGTTTTGCACGCTCACAACCTTAGACCCGAACTGCATGGTAACCAAACGACATGCATGAAAGTGCTCGCTGGTGCAATGCATGGTACCCAACGATATGCGGAACATGGTTTTTCCCCTACATTAGCTTAGTCTGTCCCAAGTTGGCCACAAACGCAAAATAACGAAAAATCCATGAGAGTAACCAAACACATCCGTGGTGATACTGTTTTTGACACCATATGCATCAATACCAGATGAAGCATCTCCGTCGTAACTGTCCTGCTCAGTTGGCTCACGATAACACTAAGAGATGTGCATGTAGTCACATCTAGCTCTTGAGACAATACATCGAACATGTGGTAAGCAACTTGAGGTTGTGCAAGCACTCAAAATTCGAGCTAACCAGAGTCCAGTATTACGGGATCTCGGTCGTGAATCAATCAAATCGACAAACAACTGAGTTCACCAACCTTCTTGTGGGATTTTACGGCCCAACTCAAGAGAATATAGTCACGCCGTGATGTCTAGTCATGCCCTATCACCCTGAGTTCACCAACTGAGTTCACCCTCCTGCCACGCCGGCATGTCTAGTCAACAAAAGCATACACATCTGTATGTGATTTGAACCATACCGCCAAATTTTAGAACCAATTTGGTGTATTTTTTTAAGTTCAGGCATCAAAGTGAACACCCGTGGCAAGTTTAAGCACCACTGGGTGTTATTACCTTGGAACTATATATCCAACCAATTTCGCGGGAACGCGCGGGGTATTGTCTAGTTGTTATTATCACATAATATTTGTGTCGTTTCGTGACATTTCCTAGGAAAAAAACGTCGCAATAAATTTCAAAGGAGGCCAAGATATATCTGCTGAATTAAGGAAATCACAGTTCAAATTTACATTGGTTTTGGTAAATAAATCGGATTTGCGCCGTGGTGGACTCGTTTTCTGTTTCCTTTCCGAGGGGAGCAAACCGTGGTGGACTCGTGGTCTCACGCCTCCACCGAATCGAACACACACCGCGCCACAGAGTGGCCATATAGCCCGATCCTTGCTTGCAGAGAAAGTCGATTGAAGCCAGACAGACAGAAAAGGGGGAAGTATAGGGTCCGATCCGGCACAAGGAACTCCTCCGCGCCGCATCCAAACAGATCCACACCCGAAATCCCCGAAACCCTCGCCGGCGACCATGGGGCAGGGCACGCCGGGCGGCATGGGCAAGCAGGGCGGCGCGCCGGGCGACCGCGGCAAGCCGGGCGGCGACGGCGACAAGAAGGACAAGAAGTTCGAGCCGCCCGCCGCGCCGTCCCGGGTCGGCCGCAAGCAGCGCCGCCACAAGGGACCCGAGGCGGCCGCCCGCCTCCCCGGCGTCGCGCCGCTCTCCAAGTGCCGCCTCCGCCTCCTCAAGCTCGACCGCGTCAAGGACTACCTCCTCATGGAGGAGGAGTTCGTCGCCGCGCAGGAGCGCCTCCGCCCCACCGAGGAGAAGACGGAGGAGGACCGCTCCAAGGTCGACGACCTCCGCGGCACCCCCATGAGCGTCGGCTCCCTCGAGGAGATCATCGACGAGAGCCACGCCATCGTCTCCTCCTCCGTCGGCCCCGAGTACTACGTCAGCATACTCTCCTTCGTCGACAAGGACCAGCTCGAGCCAGGATGCTCCATCCTCATGCACAACAAGGTACGCTGCCGCTCCCCGTGGCTCGGATCCGTCCCCGTTTGAGTTTGCTCTCTCGATCTGCGTACCTGGTGAGGCTAGGGTTCGGATCTTAGGGGGGAATTCGTTAACCATAACAAGTCAATTCAAGCCTGTTCAGTCTAGGATCTTATAGGTCCCTCAGTGAATTCAGGATCTGCGTGTAGTCTGAAGTCGCAGAGAGATTAGAATTGAAGGAATCTGGTGAAATTTTCATTCTAATCTGAATTGCTCAAATATGTGCGCAAGTGAACTGAATGAACCTTAAAACGAGAGTCTCATAAAGGATTGGTACAATGCTGAGGATTGCCTAGTTTGCGTTGTGAAGCTTTTCTTATGTAGTAGAGCACTGCAGTCAGCGGGTTTCTGCAATTCATTAGACTTATTATTTAAAGGTCCACTCCTGAAATCTAGACAACTAGCTGTATCGTGTAGTTTTGCAAGGCTTTAATTCACCTTTTATGTTTGATGAATTCCAAAGCTAGTTTGCTTTGGTTTGGATCCTAGGGGTAACTCATCAGCCATAACAAGTCAAAATCCTAGGGGAAACTCATCATAACAAGTGACCACTAACAATGGCCATGTGATGTGTAGTTCTGAAACTCATTTTTGTCAATGCATGTGCAGGTGCACAATAATTTTGGTAGACATAAAAGCATTACAATCCTTATATTATGTAATTACTATGTTACTGATATATTCAGTAGAAGGAAAGGCTGGGCACCAATGGTCCTCAGGATAGCTGGTCGGCAGTCTGTAAAATAGATGTTGCGTTCAAGAGATTATGACTCTGTTTTGTGTTCTCTGGTTTTGTTTTAGCTGTGTTTTCAGCTTTGAGGAGAGTTTTTTCTGTTGTTAGGAGGATGTTCTTGGTTCTGTGTTGTGTTGTTGGGGCTTTTGCTTCAACGGATTACTTGTATTAACCTGTATTATCAGCTTCCAGCAATGAAAGCTGGGGTTACCCCTTAATTCAAAAAATAAATAAATGTTACTTTAGTTCTTATCTCTTAGGCTCGATATTGTGTTCAATACCTGAGTAGCCATGAAACAGGTGTAGTATTTGTTTATTTTCATCACAAAACATAAAACTGTTGTGATTTCCTTCATGGGGGCTCAGGGAACTTTCCTACTCTTTCCATAGATACTGTCCATTGCACATAACTTTCATGCAGCCTGTAAATAGATGTTATGATGGCTCACAAGATTCAATTTTCCAGGTTCTTTCTGTGGTTGGAATTCTGCAAGACGAAGTTGACCCTATGGTATCTGTGATGAAAGTTGAGAAAGCTCCACTAGAATCATATGCAGACATTGGAGGGTTAGATGCTCAGATTCAAGAAATAAAGGAGGCGGTTGAGCTTCCGCTGACCCACCCTGAGCTATATGAAGACATTGGAATAAGGCCACCCAAGGGGGTCATATTATATGGAGAACCTGGAACAGGGAAAACTCTACTTGCCAAGGTCAGTCTTGGCCTTCGCTCTGGACATCTATTGCTTATATTTCTTTGAGGAGAATTTCAGGCTTCAGTCCTCCTTAATTCATTCCAGGCTTTAATATTTGTCTGAATTTTCACTTTATTTTGCATTATATACCTTTTCAAATAACATATACTTGAGTGCTGATGTATGACCTGTGGTTACTTGAAATTGTTATTGCAGGCTGTTGCTAACTCCACATCTGCAACTTTCTTACGTGTCGTTGGAAGTGAACTTATTCAGAAGTACCTTGGCGATGGTCCAAAACTAGTTAGAGAACTATTTAGAGTGGCGGACGAGCTTTCCCCCTCGATAGTCTTCATCGACGAGATCGATGCAGTTGGAACAAAGAGGTATGACGCTCATTCAGGAGGGGAGCGTGAGATTCAGAGAACTATGTTGGAGCTGCTGAACCAGCTAGATGGTTTTGATTCGCGTGGAGATGTTAAAGTTATTCTAGCTACAAATCGCATTGAAAGTCTTGATCCAGCCTTGCTTCGCCCTGGCCGAATAGACCGAAAGATAGAATTCCCTCTTCCAGACATTAAGACTAGGCGGCGCATCTTCCAGGTACCTTTTTAATCAGTCTATGTTGATCTTAACATTACAGAATGCATTCTTGTTTGGTTCTTATGAACATCACAAATCTTGCAGATACACACGGCAAAGATGACATTGTCAGATGATGTGAACCTGGAAGAGTTTGTCATGACTAAGGATGAGTTTTCTGGTGCTGACATCAAAGCAATATGCACCGAATCTGGCTTGCTTGCTTTGAGAGAGCGTAGGATGAAGGTAATGATGGACTTTATATCGCTAGTTCAAATAGTTTACATTGTTTGGGGAGTTCACTGAAGTATACCTCTATTTCTAGCTAGTTTCATTTGGTAAACTGGCATCTTTACCACGGAATTATGGTTTTGCATGTGGATGATAGATAAGCATATAGTTTTTGTTGCACGAGCAATATCACTTTTTGTTATGCATGTACTCCTATAAACTGGCAGTTAGGCAGTAGAACTTCAGATTATTGGCTATACTATTGGAGGAAGCCAACCAGCACCATTTATTTAGCAACCAACTTGTTTTCCACAATTCATTGCTCAGAACATTTCTGTTCTATGTACTAATGTCTGTCCGGTACCAGTCTATCATGTTCAGGGGTATTAAGTTTTGGTATACGTCTTGTGCCATTTATATGTCAAAATTAATGCTGGAACATGCTATATGTCCATGTACTTGATCTGCTGTTTCCTGATTTTCCTAGGTGACGCACGCCGACTTCAAGAAGGCAAAGGAGAAGGTCATGTTCAAGAAGAAGGAAGGCGTGCCGGAGGGGCTTTACATGTGATGAATTGTGCACCGGTCTTCACTACCAGAATGATAGTGTAGTGATAATATATTTGGTATCGTGGGATATGTTTCCCTGGTTTGGAGAATATAGGCGCAAATTTGTTTGTAACATTTTCTTTCGCCTGAATGGTTGGATAATTGAATAGTTTGTTGTACTACGATCTGTTGACTCCTTTCTTCCGAAGTATTGAATCATAAGCTTAAATCGCAATGGCCAGTCATTAAAACCGTGGCATTATGGTGCTTCTCTCAAATTCATTCCAGGTAGCATTGATGTTTGAGCAAATATAAGCTGCAACCGAGTAGCTATGTTATGTTGCGCCATGGTTATTGCTGGATAATCGAACTTGGATTGCATACAAATAAAGTATAGGAAATCTCATATGGGTAACTAATTTTATATGTCCTTTGGAAAAATCATTTCAAACTACATATGCAAGGACTATACAGTATGCCTCTTCAACTTGAGCATGAAATATCTTTGCAAGAAGGTTTTCGTGATGAAACGAGATGACTATGTTTACTAACCCTCTCTCTTCTTTAATTGTGTGCCACATAAGCATATTTGCTAGTCCCAAGTGCATGTTTCCGATTATGTTACCCCACTATGGCCAGCCTAAAACGCATATTCAGACATAGCATTATGTATTAGTAAAACCGAGGTATGCACACTGTACCTATCTCGTAGAGGCACAGGACATCCCGAATGGGTCTTGTTCCGCTACTCTTCCCTGGCCCCACCCAAATTGCAAGGTCTTGGCCGTGGTCTATGTTTTGTCGCTGCAAGTCTATCTTGTGCCCGCCATTGGAAATTGAACTCAACCGCGCGCAGGCACTGTTTCACCAGTTGCACGAGGGAAACCACTTGCACGCGTCGATTAGAGCAACTCCAACAGGTCGATCCAAACGAACGGCATTTTTGTCCGCTTTTTGTCCGTTTGAATTGACCGTCCGTCCTTTTTTAGTTTTGGGTCGGCAGTGCGCCCAACGGGCCGACCCATTTCATGACCGCGCGCGTTTTAGATCATGTCGTCGCCCTGGTTTTGGTGCATCAGCGCGCGTGGGAAAGCGGCCTAGCACGCGCTGGTTTTGGCGCTCCAGCGCGCAGAGGAAAGCGGCCTAGCACGCGCTGGTTTTGGCGCTCCAGCGCGCGGGAAAGGTTCGCGCGCGCGCCGCGGCCGGCGCTCGTTATAAAGAAGGCGCTCCCTCCATACTCTGTTCACCGCCCACTCTCGCCGCCTCTGCTCGCCGCCCACTCTCGCCGCCTCTGCTCGCCGCCCACTCTCGCTGCCTCTGCTCGCCGCCCACTCTCACCGCCTCTGCTTGCCGCCCACTCTCACCGCCTCTGCGCCACCATGTCGATCTGCCGCCTGGGCGCTTCGGATTTTCGCGGAGTCCGCAAGCGCCGCTCCGGCGCCTTCTCCTCCGAGATCTGGTTTCGCGAGAAACGTCTCATCCTCGGCACCTTCGACACCGTAGAGGAGGCGGCCCGCGCGCACGACGCGGCGGCATGGTGCCTCCTGAGGCCTCGACCGGATATGAATTTTCCCAACGTGTCGAGCCAGCGAGCGCAGGATCTGGCGCCTCTCTCGCGGCTTTTCACCGACGAGGATCGTCGTGTCCACCGGAGGCGGCAACGTCGCCTCGCCATCGCGGAGAAGGACGTGGAAGCCTTGGTGGTGTGGCGCGGAGGCTTCCCGCAGGACATCGTCGATGAGCGCCAGTTCTACAAGCAAAGAAGGTTGGAGAGGGACGCGAGGAGGAGGGAGCGAGCCGCCTATCGGGAGGACAAGCGTTCGCGGAAGCAGGCAGCTCAATTGAAACTGAAGCTACGGGAAACGGCGGGTTGGGACTTTGAAGACGAGGCGTATGCTGATGCCTACATTCAGACGTCAGAGGAGGACATTACCGAGTCGGAGTCAGAATCGACGAGTAGTGGTCTTTTCTTTGTATCTGTGTACGCTAGAATTATCTATGTATCCATTTTTATCTGAAAAAAATGACCGGCGGCGTCGGCGATGTAGCAGGCGGGCAAGGGTGTGAATCCAATGTGCCACCGACCAGCGGGCCCGGTGAGGAAAAAAGGGCGAGCGCACGCGCGTCCGTGTTGTGTCCGCACCGACGTAAATCAGGCTCAAAAATGGGCCGGGAATAGCTCGGCAGGTGGACAAAAGCGGACATGTGTCCGTTTGGGTCGGCCCGTTGGGCCGCCCTTTTTATCCGCACCGACCCAAACAGACGGCCGCGGACGAAATGGGTCACCCCATTGGAGTTGCTCTTATGGCCAGGTGGGAACAAGGAATGATGCCCACGTACCGGACGTACTCCCTTCGTCCGGAAATACTTGTTATAAAAAATAAATAAAAGAGGATGCATCTAGACGTATGTTAATTTTAGATACATCATTTTTATCTATTTTGATGACAACTATTTTTGGACGGAGGGAGTACTATGCTGCAAGCATATCTCATTCGCACCAATCAGCAAACAAATCATGCGGAAGAAAAATCAATTCTAATGAACAGCAACTTACTAAACTACACATGCATGGAGCAAAATCGTTATTTATTTATAGAGCGCACCGCTATTCCATCGTTCGTACCAAAGCCCACTACAACAACCGAATGCAACACCACACGCACGCCTGCAAGGACATCCCCGCTTTACCACCTGGTCGCCTCACACCACACTTCTTCGCACGGCAATGCTAAAAGAGGAACGAGTGATTTTTTATTTGGTAATAAGAATAATGCGTGGAATGCTCCAAGGAGGGAACCAAAGCTTGTAAAACCAGACGATGTAGTGCCCCTTCCTTCATCATCAAACGTCGTAGAAGTGTCTGGTGCACCAATTCACTGGGTGCATAGGATACATTCTCAGAGGGAGCCATCGCCCCAAGCCCAAAAAAATAAAATTTTAATTACTACTCCATCCGTTTCTAAATATTTGTCTTTCTAGACATTTCAACAAATGACTACATACAAAGCAAAATGAGTGAATCTACGCTCAAAAATATGTCTACATACATCCGTATGTTGTAACCATTTGAAATGTCTAGAAAGACAAATATTTAGGAACGGAGGGAGTGGTTACTACCGGGTACATAATATCATATCCGGCCTTTCTAGTGTCATCTTCAAACAATATGGTAGCAATGCTTTCGAGTTCCTCTCTTCTTCTCAGGATATACTAAAACATCCTAAAACATCCTAAAACATTCTTTACATATCAAGATACTGCAATGGGAAATGCAGCTAGAGAAGTGTTTCCAGAAACATGGCATGGATTATGCACTTTTCATATTATGCAAAATGCTATCAAACATCTACATGAGGAGAAGAACGAGGAGAACAATGATGAGAAGATTGAAGGGGAGAATGAAGATAATAATGAAGGTCAGAAACAAAAGAAGAATGAAGGGAAGAAAACAAGAAGAATGAAGGAAAGAAAACAGAGAAGAATGAAGAGCCAAGTATTCTATCAGATTTTAGCGCGTGCATGTTTGAGTATGAAGACGTGATCTAGTTTGAACAAAAATTTGACCTCATGAGAGAAAAGGTGAGCAAACAAACTTGGTTGGATAGTATATACAAGGTGAAAGAAAAATGGGCTGAGTGTTATACTCCCTCCATTCCTTTATGTAAGGTGTATTATTTCCGGCACGGTGACCAAGGCACAAACTATACACATGTTAGGACGAAATTAACCTTGGCAAATCATTGATTAGAGGCAACTAAATCATTAGGCAAGGAAAGTAAGAGATAAACACAATCAGAAGAGAGATACTTTCCTTTTTCCTCTTTACAAGAAGAGATGCATGCAATCAGGGGACAGATACTCTCCTTTTTTTTGAAGGGCTAACAACGGAATTGCGAGGAATTAGAAGAAATGTACCTTATATTGTGAAATTTTATCAAAAACAAATACACCTTACATAAAGGAATGGAGGGAGTATGAAGGATGTCTTCACATTAGGAATGAGAAGTACACAATTGAGTGAGAGTTTGAACAATGACTTGAAAATCCATTTCAAATCTGATTTTGATATCATACTTTCTTTAAGCATTTTGAAAGGGTGGTGCAAGGAAAAAGGAATAATGAGCTGAACTCGGAATTTGATTCTAGGAAGAAGTTGCCTAAACTATGTATGAGGAGACCACCACCAATGTTAGTGCAAGCTAGCAAGCTATATACACATGTTATATTTGAAGCTTTTCAAGGTGAATTTGAAAGATCATTGGCAGCTTGCACAAAGTCTTTGGATGGTAATAATGAATATCTAGTAGGAGATTTCACCTACGAGGAGGAGTATAAAGTTACTGGTGATCCTTTGAAGGAAACAGTTGTGTGTAGCTGCCGGCAATTTGATAGAATTGGGATATTGTGTGCCCATACTCTTAAGGTTCTTGATTTGATGAATATCAAGTCACTACCACCACAATATGTGCTAAAGCGATGGATGCGGGAAGCAAGGAGTGGAACTATAAAAGATAACATGGGAAGAAATGTAATGGAAAATCCAAATATGGCTGCAATGCTTAGCTACAGATTTGTGTCTCACAAATTCCACAATTTAGCACATCGAGCGACTAACTTTCCAGAAGTAATCATGTTAGTAGACAACACACTTGACATCCTTGGTAAACAAGTTAAAGACATAATCAATGGATGCACAAACACTTCTAGGGATGCATGTATAGTCTCTGCAGATGCTAGTCCACCAAATCCAAATGACTTGTTGAGTACTGCGTGCCTAAAGAAAAAGGAGGTTCAAACAAAAACTTCAAAACGCAAAAGAAATTGGTTGGATAAGAAGCACAAGGCTAGGAAAAAGAGACAAAACAAAGCTACATCACATGTTGGGGAAGAGGCATGTAATGATGGTGCACATGTTCAATCAACACATATTTCAGTGGTATGTAGCTAAATAACAATTGCGCTTCCAATGGTATAATTGTTTCCATTATTTATGAGAACTCACCGGATTTCTTTTCCTACAAAATGCAAGAGGTTGGTGAAGGGGCATGTAGTGCTGGTGC